AAGCCAGGTGGAAAGATCTTCTCTAGCTTACAGAGTAACACAGGTGCCGCTTTTTCCAAGTCCTGAGCGACGGTCCGAGATATCTCCTTGGCACAAAGCTGACGGAAGAAAAAACTCAACTCTGCCAGCACTTGCCAGACATGGTCAGGGACATAGCCTCGGACCATCACTGGAAGAAGCCGCTCAATCCATATGTGGTAGTCATGACTCTTCATCCTGTTGACTCGTAAAGTGCCTAAGTTCACTCCCCTGCTCAGATTCGCTGCATATCCATCTAGGAACATTAATGTCTTGATCCATTTTAGTACTTCCCTCCTTTGATCGCGTTCCAAGACGAAATTGACCTTAGGTCTTTTCCATTGTTTGTTTCGGCCACTAGGAGGCCGCATCTCTTGCTTCGGTCTGTCACACAACGTCGCTAGGTCCACTCTAGCTTTAACATTGTCCTTAGACTTGTCAGTGTTCATGAGAGTTCCCCAAAGTGCCTCGGCGATATTCTTTTTGGTGTGCATTACATCAATGTTATGTGGCTGAAGAAGATCATCGAAATAGGGGAGCCTCGTCAAGCCGGACTTATGAGTCCACATATGTTCCTCACCATATCCCACAAAACCACCTCCTTCATTGGGCACGAGAGCATCTATCTGAGCACGCACCTCAGCACCACTCTTCATGTGCGGTTTAGGGTCTATCACTACAACACCTTTTGTAAAGTTTTTGATGTCTTGTCTGAATGGATGGTTAGAAGGGAGGAATTGATGATGCCTGTCGAACGACGAATACTTGCCACCCTTCTTCAACCAAATGAACCTCACAGCTTCCTTGCATATTGGGCACAGGAATTTCCTGTGGACACACCAGGTGGTGAATATCCCATACGCCAGGAAGTCATACAGGGAGTAGTGGTACCAAACATGCATCTTGAAGGATGATTTTGTAGCTCGGTCGTATGTCCATACCCCCTTCTCCCAAGCATCAATCAATTCATCAATCATAGGCTCCATGTACACACCCATATTACTCCCCGGGTGTCTAGGAATTATCAACGACAAGAAGACGTTATGTCGTTGAAAGGATATGCCGGGGGGGGGAGATTCAGGGGGATAACAAACACGGGCCAACATGTGTATGGGGCAGACAACTGTCCATAAGGATTGAACCCATCTGTTGCCAGCGCGACACGTACATTACGAGCCTCAGCTGCTTTGTCAGGATGTTTGTCATTAAAGTACGTCCATGCTTCGGCATCTTACGGATGCACCATCGTCCATGGCTTGTACCGTACACCTTCTTTATGCCATGTCATCTATTTCGCGGATTCCTCGGTCATGAAAAGCCGTTGGATCCTCGGCACAAACGGAAGGTGCCGTAGGACTTTCGTGGGGATCGTAAGCTGCCTCTTCTAGCCATCTCCAGAGTCTACCTCTAGGTACCTTAAGGATTTACACTTCGGACAGTACTTTGCATCCTTGTGATCTTTCCTAAATAAGACGCACCCCTTCGGACAAACATGTATCTTGTCATATGCCATCTTAAGCATATGAAGTAGTTTCTGTGACTCATGCAAGTTCTTCAGCAGAATGTGCTTCTCCGGTAGCATGCTGCCAAACACGGCCAACATCTTATCAAAGCCTTCGCGACTCAGATTTAACTCGGCCTTCAACCCCATAACACGTCTAATGGCATCCAGCTGAGAAACCATTGTACTCTCATGAAGGGGTTTCTATGCCGAGTCCAACATTTCGTAGAAGGCCTTAGCGGCTTCCTCCATCTCCTCCTTCTCACGTCCTTCTACGAAGTGAGCTTGGTGAGTGTCATCTAGCATGTCTGCTACTCTGGCGTCATCATCAAAAGCCTCGAGGCATGGTCTCACCACCTCCGCTCTTATACGATCTGCTTCACCAAGGTGGATCCACCGGTGGTAGCCAGCCGTATAACCATTGTACACAAGATGTTTACCCATGGTCACCTTGTCTACCCTTCTGTTGTTGTCACATTTGCTATAGGGACACCAAAGTTTAGAATGTCCTTTAGCTACACCCAAGCTCCATGCATGTTCCAAGAAAGCATATGTCCCATTCACCCACTCAATGTCAAAGTCACTCCTGCTTCTCCGGCCCGTGTACATCCACTGATGGTCTTCCATCCTTCCACATATACAGCACATAGTAATGTAACCATCAATTACATCTACGCGGTGTTCCTACTCTCTAATAGGTGAGGATAGGTCCTAATCCCACCCGCAGATGCATAGATGAGGTTAGTTTCCATGCTCCGCTCCCTATCCGAGACAGAATTTCGGCAGCACCTCCCCGCTGTTCTCCCGATGCATGTCCTGCAAGGGAGAGTGTGTATCCGGAGAACAATTGGGGGTGATGCCGAAACACCATCTCGGACCGGAGCGGACCATGGAAACTAACCCATCTACGCATCCGCGGGCTGTCCAAAAAATGTGGACAATCCAAAACAGATACGATCGTAGATATACAAAGATCTGTATACCTCCAACCGTATCTCTTTCGGACGGGAGACACCTAACTAGGTTACGCGACCAAAGACCACATACGGATAGAGGGGTTATACCTAGGGTGCCAGTGAGGTCAGGGTAGCGGGGCGGTGGAGAGTCGGTGCAAAGGCGAGTCGACGCGGTGCAGGAAGACCCGCAGCACCGACGAAGACGATCGGGGTCGCCGAGTCCCTCCCACAGGTCCTCCTGCAAAAAAGGGCAAAAATGGTTAGTGTCGACTCAAAATTTCGGCAGCACCTCCCCTGCACGGGGAGGTTCCCAAAACTTGCAAAAAGCATGGCACAAAGGCCAACAACCACATATATACCAAACATGGGCACGAAGGCCAACAACCACCAATATATCAAGAGGAGCCATGTATTTTAGTTCTCTTTCCATTCAGATGAAAGTATTGAAGTAGTACAACAACAATTACTACTAACCCTACAACTACTACTAAAACTACTACTAACAACTACTTAACTACTAACAATACTAATACTAAGAACTACTTAACTATTAACAACTACTACTACTAACAACTACTACTTACTAACTACTACTATTTACTAACTACTACTATTTACTAACTACTACTACTACTACTAACCCTACAACTAACACTACTAACTAATACTACTAACCACTACTACTTACTAACTACTACTATTTACTAACTACTACTACTACTAACCCTACAACTAACACTACTAACTACTACTACTAACACTACAACTAACTACTACTAACTACTAACTACTACTACTACTACTAACCCTACAAGGGTAGGGCTTACCTTGGCGGTAAGAACGACAAGAGCGAGGGCCGACGACGACGGCGGGGATGACCGCAGCAGCGTGAGGATCAACGGGCGGTCGGAATGAAGCTAGGATCGACGGGCGGTCGGGTCGGCACCTTCCTCTTCTTCCTCCCCTTTCTCTTTCTTCCTCTTCTTCCTCCTCCCCCTTCTCTTTCTTCCTCCTCCCCTTCTCTTTCTTCCTCTTGCTCCTCTCCTTCCCCTCTCTTTGGTCGGGCCGTAGGGCACGGGCGGCGGGCAGTCATGGGTGTGGGCATGGGCTTCGGGCATGGGCTGGGTCACTGGGGGTGGTCTTGGCTGGCCTTGGCAGCTGGCGCGGGCGAGGCTCGGGGGCGGGGGGGGGGGGGCCGGTGGGGAGGTGAGGGCCCCCGGGGGCTGGGCCTGGGGGGGGCGGGGGGAGGCAGGGGCGGCCGGGGGGGAGAGTAGGAGAGAGCTCGGCGGGCGGCCGGGGGGGGACGACGAATGTGGGTGGCTGGGTGGCCGGGCGGCGGCAGCAAAGGCAAGGAGGCTGGTGGGAGAGCGAGGTGGAGAGGAGGAGGAGGAGGGTCGGTTGGGCCGGCCTGTTCACGGGACTTTAGGTTAGAAGCTTTTCCGAGTCCGGGCCAAAGAAGACTCGGCAAAGGTTTTTTGCAATTTTTTAAAAAATTTTCTTTGCCAGCAGTGACCTGTGACCTAAGTGGTATTTATATTTCGGCAATTAAAGGTCTTTTTGCTCAATTTGCCAAGGTTGGTACTCGGCAAAGACGCCTAATTTTTTTTTGTTTTTTTCTCCTCAATTTTTCCTGGGGCCTTCCGACGTCACAACTTGCTTCAAACTTTCTCAATTTTTTACCACGCCCTCCACATGCGATAACAAGACACCTCGACAAGTTTCGTCATTTTTGGACTTCGTTTGGATTTTATATAATCTAAATACACTTTTACCGCAAGTACATCGCCATGTTACGACAACAAGATGCTCGTAATTTCATGCGAGTTCCTGGATACGGCCTCAACATACGCCAAACATCATGAATACCATTTTTTGAATGACCAAATTCCATCATTTCATGTACATACAGTTCAAATTTGAAATAGTTGGAAAAATTCAACAAAACAAAAATAATTAAGGAAATATAGTAAAAAACTCAAAATTGTCCCAAATTTTGAAATGGAGTTTCTATTACTGTAGCAAGGACCTAGGAAAAAATGGGGAGAAAAAAACAAAAAAAAAATTAATTTGCCGAGTGTCAACCTTGGCACTCGGCAAAGACTGTCTTTGCCGAGCGCCAGGTCACATGGCGCTCGGCAAAGAATTTTAAAAAAAAATTACAAAAACGGCTAAAAAACCTTTGCCGAGGTCCTAACGGTGATGCCCTCGGCAAAGATTGACGGTAGGGGATGGACATCGTGTCAGAAGGTGTTGCCGAGGGCTGGCCCTTTGCCGAGGGTTTAGCCCTCGGCAAAAAATTATTGTTGTCATGTGTTTGTGTTTGCCGAGGGTCTGGCCCTCGGCAAAGACTCTTTGCCGAGGGCGGTTCTTTGCCGAGGGTCAGGCCCTCGGCAAAGACTTTTTACCGAGTGCCCGAGTATTTACCATCGGTAAATCATTAGGCCCTCAGCAAAGATGCTCTGTCCGGTAGTGTCTCTGTTCCGCTCCACCATGTCCACGTCGTCTTTGACCTGCACGGAGTCGCACTAGCACGCTTGAGCAGCGTTCGTACCACCAGGCATTCTCCAGTGGCCACTGGCCAGTGCAGCAGTGAACGGACCTTGTTGAAGTAGCTCTCGACTCTGTCGAGCTGCGGCGAGACGGGGCCAGCGGTGAGCTTCCAGCATTTGAGCCTCGAGGCGGCGCCGTCCAGCTTGGAGTAGAGCGCGGCCGCCGTCCTCAGCGCCTCCAGTTTCTTGGAAGGGAAGCCCTCGAACCTGGCCAACACCTGCAACGCGGCATGCAGTTCGACGGCGCGTCAGAAAGGCTTAAGGCTTCGCCGAAGCACGGCTGATGGCTGAGCTCCAGGGCAAACTAACCTGTGTCTCGTCGGTCAGGGACACCAGCTGCTGCTCGACGTGCTGATGCAACCTCACCAGCTTGGCCATGTCCTTGGACTGGAACAAGCCGATGGCGTCCTTCACCTCCAGGATCGCGGCCGCGTGCTTCTCGGCGTCCTCTTCGATTTGCCGGAAGTACGTCGATCTTTCAGTTTCAATTTCGACAGATTTTATTAGCATAAAAATTGTTTACTTTCATTTCATCGTCACCAAGGAACGAAGGAAATGAACTATACTGCTCCATGGTTGCTAATGCCAGCGTTTACTTTCCACGCAAGCGCATGCAGAACTACCTCTTGGTCATCTCGGCCAATGCATCTGCCATGTTCTGGCCGCCGGCGTCGCTCTTGGGCGCGCACGCCGTCCGGAGCCTCTTGCCGTTCTGCCGTCTCTTGCCCCCGTGCGTGCTGCCAGAGCCTTCCACTCTGTCACGCAGCCACGCAGGCGTCTGTACAGGCTGCCCATCTGCGACGATCGTTTCAGCTTGGTCGCAGCTCTCTTAGCGCGCACCGCTGCGGAGATGCTTCCAGGGGGCGCTGACTTAACCTTGGCGGCTGGCGGTGCCCCTTGCACTACAGACGGCGGCGGAGGTGGCGCGTCTGGCACTGCCCGCCCGGCTTCGTCCGTAGACGGCACCTCTTGAAATCTGTCTCTGTGCGCCGGTAGTGGCGGCGGCACGTTTGGCACAATGGCATTGCTGTCCTGCACTAATGGCTGCGTACTCCCATTGGGTGAAGGTGAATCCATGGATGGCTGACCAGCTTCAAGTGATGCAGAGGTCGTAGAGCCTTCCATGCTGGTGCTGACGGGCGTGGTGTCTCTCGATGCCGTCGTCGGCGCTGCCTCAGAAGGCTGTGCGACGACTGTAGGTTGCACAACTGCGGCGGCGTGGCCATCTTGCATTGCCTCCCAGGATTGCAGAAGCATGGGCAAGCCAACAACAGGCATGGGGGACGGTGGCGGCGCCGACAGCATATGTGGGGTTAATGCCTGCTGCTGCTGGTTTGCCCAGGCGCCGGTGTCCGAACTTTGCAATGTCCTGTGTGCCTCGCTGTGCCGTCTTGGCGAGGCATCGCAACCTCGTCACCGTCTGATGGACGATGGCTGGCACTTCCGCGATGTACCAGACATCACTAGCTAAAAAACGATTTTTAGCAACGGTTCGATATTTTTAGGGACGGTTGGTGATGGAGCCGCCCCTACAGTGACGTACTCGGATGCCCAGACACCAGCTGCCCCTACAAATAGAACAGTAGAGAGGCGGTGGTGATACGAGCCGTCCCTACAAATGGGGTATGATTTGTAGGGGCGGCTCAATCACCGGCCGTCCCTGGAGTATCTATTTATAGGGGCGCCTGGTGATTGAGCCGCCCCTATAAATGCCTCGTATATATAGCTCCGATTTGTAGGGCGGCTTAATTACCAGCCGCCCCTACAAATGACCCACATAAAAACAGCTACAGCAGCACCATCTTCCTCCTTGGATCATTCACTCCGTCCCATGAAAGAAAGGTGGGGAGACCTTGGGCACCTTCCAAAAATTGCTCTACTAAGTGAGGAAGGTTTTGGTCTTAAATTCTTTGATGGAGAGGTTGTAGAAGGTAAAAAATGCTATTCACACTTTTTTTTAAGTTTTAATGGTTGGTTAGTGAGTAATTAGAGTTTTGTTTTTCTCTCTCTTCTATGGTGCTTGAGCTACTTATGAAGCAAATTAGACCCAAGTTTTAAATGTACTAGGGTAAATTAGGGAGGGAAACAAGATCATACCCTTATTTAGTCCATGTTTTTTTATTTTAGTGAACAATTAGTTAGTTTTATGGATGTTTCATGTGCATGTGGATCTAGATCTAGGGTTTGGTTTTTTATTAATTTTGTTTTTGTAAATTTATATTTGATGAAATTGGACTAGGGTTTGTATGAAAGATATTGGGTAAAGTATAATTGTTGCTAATTGTTGTCTTTGAAATTATTTATTATAATCAATAAATATGTATTTTAATTATTTATGGATAAATGGGTCAGTAATTAATTTTCCTGTACCATGGTGTGTTTGTATGTTTCATGTAATTATATTAGATTTATATTCATATATATCTGAAGTATATACAATTATTCTCAAGTAATTATTAATTTGTTTCATTTTTATATATATCTGAATAAGTAGTCCTTTAATGTTTGTTTTGTTGTTGTTGTAAAAGATGGAGTACATGAACTCTTGGACGTATGGTTCGTTAAGATTCAAGGCAGGTTTCCGTGAAGAGGTGGATAAATTTATTGAAGCCGCAAAGAAGCATGCAAAGACATTGAAAGAGAATAAGGATACAATTATTTGCCCATCTAAATATTGCAAGAACCGTATGGCATGGATAGATGTGACTATCATTATATCACATTTGATTATGCGAGGATTTGTTGAGGACTACACAGTGTGGATTCATCATGGTGAAACGGTTATTGTTAACGACGAGGCTGAGGACGAATACGACGACGAAACCATAGAATCCCTGTCCCAATATTCAGCAGAGCTTGATGCACGAATGGATTTCGAGTTTGGCAATAAACAAGGTGGTGATGCTGGTGGTTGGGATGGTAACGACGAAGGTGGTGCCACTAATGATGGTGGAGCACTTGTCGGGGATGAAGATGATTTGGAGGACATGATTCGAGCCCTTGGACTAGAGATTTTACTAAATAGCCCGAAAGGTCTAGAAAATTTGCAAATGATGACAAAAGCATCGAAGGAGACTGTATGGTGTTGAAAAGGGCTGTCCGACACATTGGACATTGCTACGTTTTATGCTTGAGCTGCTCATCCTGAAGGCTAAGTACAGCTGGTCAGACTGTAGTTTCAATGATCTATTGCATCTCCTGTCATGGGTGCTGCCCTAACCAAACTCAGTTCCCACCAATACATACCAAGTGAACAAGGTCATAAGTCCATTGACAATGGGGTTAAAAAAATCCATGCATGCCCCAACCACTATATACTTTTTTGTGACGAAACGTTCAAGACACTGAATAAATGTCCCCGGTGTGGGGCCAGCCGATACAAGAACAATGACCTTTACGGTGGGGACGAAGCCTCCATGGGGAAAAAGAGGAATAACAAGGGTACAAAAAAGGTGATACAAGAATCTCAACCCCTAGAGGATACTCCATTAGGCAACGATGCAAAGCAGAGAAGAATTCCTGCCTTGGTAATGTGGTACCTGCCAGTGACCGACCGCTTGAGACGTATCTTCCTAAACCCTAAAGAAGCCGCACTCATGACATGGTGGGATGATGAACATAAGGTGGATGATGATAAGATTGCACACCCGACTGATTCTAGTCAGTGGCAAAGGTTTGATGAGAAGCACAAAGAATTCAGCGATGACCCAAGGAATGTACGGTTTGGCTTCAGCACCGATGGAATGAATCCCTTCAATGAGAGGATGAGCGATCATAGCACATGGCCAGTGATCTTGACCATGTACAACATCCCAACATGGTTGTGTCAGAAGAGAAAGTACCTTTTCACTTTTCTTATTTCTGGCCCTAAACAACCAGGCATTGATATAGACATGTTCCTCAAGCCTTTGATGCAAGAAATAGAGAGGCTGTGGAGGCATGGGGAGCAGATGTACGATGCATTCCGAAAGGAGGACTTCATATGTAGAGCAATAATATTTCTTACTACCAATGATTACCCCACGCAGTTTGCTTTGTCTAGACAGATCAAAGGGAAGACGAGATGCTTGGTTTGCTTGGATGGTACTACATGGGTGTATCTGGATGCATCCAAGAAGATAGTTTACCTAAGGAACCGATGCTTCTTAAAGACAAGTCACAAGTACCGTAACAAATTGTTCTTTAGATTTTATGACAACGCCCCAGAGATTGAACCCCCTCCAGAGAGACGTCATAACGGAGAACACGTATACAGAATGGTAAAAAACATACGCGTCGTCTATGGAAAGAAGAATCCAGATGGGACAAACAGAGATAGAAGCACACCTCCTGTCGAAGGAGTACCTTTTAAGAAACAATCGATCTTCTTTCAGTATCTACCTTATTGGCTAGACTTGGGGGTCCCCCATGCCATTGATACTATGCACGTGCAGAAGAATGTCTTTGAGAGTCTCATTGCTACCTTGATGGACACAGGCAAGTCAAAGGATGGTCTGAAAGTACGGAAAGACATGGTGTAGCTAAACGTGATGCCATAGCTTCACCCGGTACCTGAGGCTAATGGAAAATACACTCTGCCCACGGCGTGCTTCAACCTAACACCAGACGAGAAGAGAGATATATGCACTTTCCTGAGGGAGATCAAAGTCTCGACTCGGTTTTCAGCAAATGTAAAGAAGCTAGTGTCGATGAAGGACTTGTTAATAACACACTACAAGGCTCATGATTGCCATGTGATGCTTACAGTGTTTCTACCTATTGCAATCAGGGCTATAAAGCCAGAGTTCTTGAAAATGGCCATCACCCGCATGTGCTACTTCTTTTCGAAGATCTCACAGAAGACGATTGGCAAGCAAGAGCTGAGTGACCTACATGAATTTCTGGTGGAGACACAAAATCAACTGGAGATGTGTTTACCTCCTGCTTTTTTTGATATAATGCCACATCTCATGATTCACATGGTTCATCAGATACAGGCGCTAGGCTCTTGCTACTTGCATGAAATGTGGTCCTACGAGCGGTTCATGTCGGTTCTAAGTCGATATGTGCATAATCGAGCATACCCAGAGGGCTCCATGATAGAGGGTTATAGTACTGAAGAAGTCGTCGAGTGTTGTCAAGAGTATCTAAAAGTACAGAAAGGGATTGGTAAACCCGATTCTTGTCACAAGGGTAGGCTGGCTGGGAACGGCACCAGTGGTAGAAAAGTGTTCATCGACCATGAATACAAAGAGGTGAGTCGGGCGCATTATAGTGTCTTGCAGAGTACACAACTGATGCAACCGTACATTGATGAACACTTGGCTATCATTATGGTGGACAGAAATAACCATTCGGATGATTGGGTCATGAAACAACACAAGCAACGACTAACTACATGGTTGAAGGACCAAAACATACCGCCTGGAGAAACCATAGACTCTATTACCATCAGTAGGTTGGCGGAGGGGCTATCGAGACAAGTGACATCTTGGAATGCTTATGACATTAATGGGTATACGTACTATACCCACGCAAAGGATAGTAAATATGTGAACCAAAACAGCAGTGTTCGAATAGAGGCTCTCGATGGATTGGGGTGAAAGACCCAATACTTTGGCATCATTGAAGAGATATGGGAACTTAACTATGGAAGGGATATAACGGTGTCCCTGTTTCAATGCCGCTGGATCAAACAACACCAACTGAACGAGATTGAATTGAGAGTCCTAGACCTCGAGAATCTAGGCTACCAAGATGACCCTTTGGTGCTCGCTTCATGTGTCGCACAAGTTTTCTATATGTCTAACCCACAAAGTAACCTCCCCCCGAAGAAGAAGACAAAGCACGTGGTTGCCTTCGGAAAACAGCACATTATTGGAGTTGATGGCGTGGACGATGTTGAAGCTTACAATAACTACGATGAGATGCCGCTATTCACAGACTTTCCTAAGAAGATCAGTGTTGTGGAAAAGAACCTCCCCAAAGACATATTGCCATGGGAACGAAAATGTGTCAAGGGGAAAGTCGTTACAGCAGGCTAGCTAGTTGTTGAACGTGGAGTGTTTTATGTAAGTGTGTGTTTGTAAGACTTCATTTATGGATGCGTGTGAGACTATATATTTATGTACATGTGTAAGACTACATATTTTTGTATGTGTGTGAGACTACATTTATGCATGTGTGTGAGACTACCCTTTGCAACATCCAGATGACTCTATTTGAACATCCACTCTATTACTACTAAAACTTTATGAAATCACTTAACACTTTATGAAATGAAGAAATGACCAAAATAA